AAGAAAAATATAAACTCATAATTTAAAAATGAAGGCTAATTACATTGAACAAGACATGTCAATGTCAAATCCTGAATAAAATATGAATCTATAACATAACAAACATCTAAACTATTTAATTTATCGCATTTTTGAATGTTAAGAACGTATGATTATGAAGAACAAACACCCGTGCGGACGCACGGGTTAAAAACTAGTTGTTATTAAAGGTATAAATTAATTTATCAAACCTCGGAGACACTAATTTTATGTCACAAACATGACAATCTGGAAATATGTTTACTTGTTTGTACAGGCGCTTTGATGATAGCACCAAACGTTAAGCAGTTCTGTTCATGCTAAGGTGAGCGGAACCCAGCGCAAGATAAACTATGTTCAAATACATATGACTTTGCAATGTTACAGCTGAGTTAAGTAGAACATAAACAACATGGTACAAGCAATACAATGAACAACATAGATTCTTTATTGAGTAACACGTCTAATATTATTTCACAAGGGACCTTGTCACAACCCTTTAGCGTCCGCTGAAAGGTTCTGAAAAACCTAAGGTACCAACAGACCCCTGTGATGTCAGAACATCAAGTACTCTCTCAGAAGTAGTCTCAGACCACATTTTGACCTTCTCAGCTTTGACAATATCAAGTAGATTATCTGGAAGCTGCAAAAAGCCATTCAAGATCTGCACCACTTTCAACATGTCCGGTCTAACTCCTGCGACCTGGTGAGAACATAGCACTCCCAGTATCACAACAAGCTCAAGCTGTTCTCTGTTGTGTTCTTGGCGGAGTGTTTCATTCACTGCCTCGAGAATATCACCATTTTCTTGACTTAACTACGAACTCTTGCATTCCTTGACTTGAATCATAAGAGACCCGTTTAACCTCAATCTCTGCGTCAGAACCTGGAAGAGTACTCTTAAAGACCTGACCAAACCTTCCTTTACGAGTTGTTTGTCACTGAAACCCTTTGTGGCTTTAAAGAGTTCCTTGTAAGAAAACCTATGAGGCCCACACTGAATCTCCCATTCTTCTAAGACCTCCTTCACCTGTTTGTGTCTCTTATAGAAGAAGAGACTTAAAGCTGATGCAACAAGTCCAACAAAGAGAGCAAACGTCAAGAAGGTCACCAGAACAGTCCGTTTGACCTGAGACTCTGGCTTAGGATATGGAGGAAACTTAGGTATATCATAATCAAGATCCGGAAGAACAAGGAAGGAATACATGTGTATCGACCAAACGTAATGTAACGCGCCTATCGACCCTGTGGAGGCTGTGCAGCCGATATACATATCATCCAAAAGATAGGGTGACAGATCTTGGTTCTGTGAAAGAAGCGGCTTCTCGGAGTAATAAGCCACTTCTGGTGATGATAGAGTGACATTAAGCTGCTTATCTTCCTGTCTATACAACATAGTGACTCTGAGTAGATTCCCACTGATTTAAGTGTGTTTCTGAGCTGACCTTTTGATCATGATAGCCAGCAAGGAGAAGAAATAAACTGAGACTCATTAATATGAACTATATATTAGTCACAAGACCTGCAAATATATAAAACAAGAGCTACAGAATTGCAGAATCAGTGTCTGAAATCAATTAAATAACATGTTGTCCAAATCATTCATGCAACTCTGGTCAAACAAAATATTTCTCAAAGATCTGGATGTTCCAGAACTCAAGCGATTGAATAGCAGATAATATTAAAGATCAGTTTGAAACAAGAGACATATTAGTGTGCTTATCAAGTTATAACATCTGTTCCCAACAGAATCAAAGTCTTTGCATTTATATACTTTCCTATCACTGAGACATTGGTCTTAGTTTACATACATGACATCTACTTCAAACCAAATATTTTGTTATGTTACATACGAAAATTCACAATAGATATTACAACAACATTCAAAATTAACACCACCCACAAATGAAGCAAAAATAACATTAAAAAGGTTGGAACAAAAGAAATCACACATATATGTTAAAGGGTCTCCTACCAACTGTAGCTGGCATAGAGACAGTAGTATCAATACTCGAATTCCCTACTGACTTAAGTGTCTTTTGCTTCTCAAGAACCACACCTCCAGGTGAACCAGGACCTCTGTGGCTACCGTTATTGCTCATATGCAATGACCCTTTCTTCCATCTAAACATATTGAGACCTTTTTGCGTAATGGGATAAGACATTCTTCTTTTCTCACTACTGACTGATGGTGTACCCATCCCTCTCTCCTTTGGATTACTGTTTGGTCTAACTTTGGCTTTGGCAGAGACCGTTGGAGCCATGTACCTCGGGTATGGAGGGCAGCTTGTGAAGCTGGCATCGTCTTTGAGAGGTGAATCTTGACCTCTTAGTCTTTCTCTCGAGTATCTTGATGTGCGGAAGGGTCTGGATGGGGTGTGAAATGTAGAAATCGACGATGTTGGTGTGGAAGTGTCAAAGTTGTTGTCATGCTTGAAATGGTGTTGGTTGCTTGACTGAGACAGAGGGCTTGGGCTCAGTCTTGATGGTGTTAGCATGTAATCTCTTAGTGTTTGTCTATGGCTTGGTGCAGGACTAGCAAGAGGAACCTGCCTATCACCCCAGTTCCACCAAAGAGACAGTCCACCTGAATTTTGAACGTCCTGAGCAGACTTGAGACTGTTTTTCCACAACTGTACAGAGGAAGAGAGATGGTGGTGAAAACCTGAAAGATGCATCAACGAGGAAAGACTTGAGTGTTACCTTGTGAGAGTATGCATAGGCCATTGATCGTTCTCTGTTGATGATTGCATCAATCTTCCTCTGCGATCTTGCAACTCTTTCTCCTTTGGTCAGAACACTGTCGTCCCATTTGTCATTACCAGCTTCTGATGCAGCCCGTTTTGCTTCATCTTTCTCAACATGAACTTGGTTTTGCAACGTTTTGATGCGGCGTGATTGAATCTGGGACTGAACACGGACCACTTGCTGCATGTACTTCATTGCACTTACAGTCTGCCGCTTCACGCTGCGTCCTTTCACCACCCCTTGAAGCCTAGCTAGACCGTTGAGAGCTTTGAAACTCCTCCTGGTCTGTTTCATCCAAATAAACATTTTTGTTGCATTGGATATGGAGGCTAGTGTGATGGGACATATCTTTAAACGGAAACAAAGAATGTGAATACGTACCTTGTAACCTCTGAAAGCTGCTTGAATCTTTGTTGCAGAAGCATGTTGGACCGAGAGAGTTGCCTCTGGTCTAGAAACAAACTCCCCTCGCTGCACAGCACTAGGCGAGACCGCTTTTGGAGAAAGAGGCCTAGGTGTAGTGGGTCTTGGAGCATTCAATCTCGGTGGTTCTGCTTTAGGTGAAGGAGACCTTGGACTATCTAATCTTGGTGGGTCTGCTCTTGGAGAAGGTGGTTCTGGAGAGAGGGCTTGTGGGGAGTCAGCTCTTGGTGAAGTTGGTGTTGGAGAAGGGGGCTTTATAGGAGATGAAACTCTTTGTGGAACTGGTCTTGGAGAAGGAACTCGAGTAGAAGCAGGCAAGGGAGGAGGAGGAGGAGGAGCACTGGTAGAAGATGATGATGGCTTTGATCGATCAGGGGGCTTTGATGAAAGACATCCTGGAGAATCCAAGCTTGGAACGTCTGCTCTAGTAGGAGGAGACTTTGGAGAAGCAGCTCTTGGTGAGTCAACTCTTAGAGAAGTTGGTTTTGGGGAAGCAGGCCTCAGAGGAGGAGTGGATGATAATGGATTTGAATGATCAGAAGGAGTAGGAGGCCTGAAAACAAGATTGTGATCTCTCTCAGCCTCACCAAAGATCTTTTCAATACTACTAGGCTCTCTGAAGATAGGAAGAAATGAACTGGTATCTCCACACCTTAGCTTCCCAAAACCTTTCTTCTTCTTTTCTTTTCCACTCTTTCTCTCTGCTTCCTGCTGGCAAAATTTCTCAACAAGAGCCGACATTAATCTCATCACTAAAATCAAACATTCCAACAAGCGTAGTAAAATCCAGTAAAGACTTTTGTTTGGAGTAAGCAAGCTTACATTGCCTAGCTTCTCTTTGGAATGTGGAGTAAAAACCCTTTTGATTTTAGAAAACCAACTTCCTTTCTTCCCCATCACTACCTTCCTTACCTGTCACAATTAAAACATAACTCAACCTTTGTTGAAGCCTTGTTCTTTCACACACCTCAAAGAATAATCCTTTATGATAGTAGGTCCTAAGATGAACCATGCATGAAGAGTTCTAAGACCACTATAACGGGTTTATTCATTAAAATTTGCAACATTCATCAGAAGCATTTCTCACTGAGACTAATGACTACGATTTTGTCAGAAGACGCAAGTTAGCATGATTGCTTGCTTCGTATCACCTGCATGATTCAAAAATGAAACATCTATTAAAAGAATGTTAAGAAGATCCAAGAGCTCAGATACATAAACTACCAAAGAAAAAAGATGTAGTTTTAAGTTGTTTGAGCTGCCATGAAAAGGAGATTTTAACTTTCTTGACAAATACTGTATTCTTCTTCTCTTAAAGTTAGGTGAAGTGACTAAATCATCACAAAAATATTTTGCTTATTTAGTGCAAAAGAACAGAGACAGAGACAATTTGCTTGCTCTGCTTGTTTACAAGTGTAAAAGCTCTGAATTTAATATGCTATCAGTAAACAACAACTAAAAAGTGAGCTCTTTCCCTTTCTTTTATCTCACTCACTCACACACACACTCTCTCTGCTCAAGTAACAGAGGAAGAGAACAACAGCAACAACAGAAAAAGACAGATCTTTTGACACAACCCAAAAAACAGAAAGTGAAAATGAATTATTAAATTCAAAGAGAAGTAAACAAATCAATTCGTCGGTATAATTCACAAGCAACAAGAACTGCTTACCTCGCTTCTGAGATTTTTTTTTTATAGCTTTGCCTTCTAGATTTCCTCAAAACAAGTTAAGAAAGAGAGAAAGAGACAGAGTAAAGTGAAGCAGACAGAGAAGAAAAAGCTCCTGTCTGCCTTATTTTCCTTGTTGACTATTTTTTTCTCAACTCTCAGATTAAAAAAAAATATAAACTCCAAAACTGGAAAATTGGAAAAAAGAGCCATTTTGAACTACAATTTGGCCAAATAGGATTAGTAGAGCATTTTTTAGTTAAATAGGATTTTCAACTTCTTTAATACCATAATACCCCTAAAACTTACAAACCTTAAAAACAGATTTATATATATGTATTTTCGTAAATGATTTAATAACAAAAAAGGAAAATTAAAAAGAAAAAGGGATTTTACAAACCCTTTTAAATCATTTTCCCAAAAACAAATCGTATCTCTTTTATTCTCTCCTCTCCCGAACCTTCGTCGAACCCTTCAATGGCGATTTAGGGTTAATCTTCGAAACTTCTCTCCTCCGTTGGTCCTCGTCGGAGATTTCGTCGGAGATAGAGCCTTAGTCGAAGCCTTCTCTCTTTCTCTTCATCTTCCTCTTTCTTCTTCTTTCAATCGAACACAAGAACCTCTTTCACCGGAGCCTAAAATCGAACTCTTCTTCCTCCAATTCCAGCAGCTCGGTGACGTATAAACATCAAAGTAAGTGATTCGACTTCTAACCCTAGAGTATCCTAAAAATCCTATTTTTCATCTTTCTTAAACCTAAAGTTTGGTTTTGGGTTTCTTAATCATCTAATTAACAAAATCGACCATTGCATGTTATCGATTTGATTTTTATGTTTATTAGTATCGATTTAGTTTTTGTTTGAATGGGTTCGAGTTCTAACCCTAGATTGTCCTAAAAACCCAATTTTTCAACTTTCTTAAACCTAAATTAGTTGTTTGGGTTCCTAAATCATTTGATTAACAAAATCGAGCATTGCATGTTATTGAATTGATTTTTATGTTTATGAGGATCGATTGAGAATTTGTTTGAATGGGGTAGAGCTCGGGTCTAACCATACTTTACTAGTTGGTGTCGGTAAGTTTTGTGTAGGGATTAAGATGTAGCTTGTGAATTGTGAGAGATCGATTTTGTTGTTTACTATTTGAAATGTGTACTTATAAAATAAAGAGAAAATTGGAACGTGAGGAGTCTAAAATCGAAGTCTATGTTATTTCTTTGTTTGTGTTGTCATAAGTTTGATTTCTATTTGCTTGATTTTGTTGTGGTGTGAAATCATAACAACATAACTTTCTGTTATTTCTTTGTTTGTGTTCTCATCATAGGCTTCTGTCTTCACTTGCAGGTATGTCAGTGGAGTTACCAAAGCGGCTTTTTAAGGAGGGTGAGGAGACCCAAGTGACTCAGATTAATAACAACTGCAGGTTGGAGTACAACATGAGAATGCTGAAGGAGTGGCTGCCAAAGGAGTTCGAGGTCGTGAAGAAAGATCCGGTTTTCGCTCAGATTTTCAAGCTGCACGACAATGGTTTGGGGTACTCCGCGAGAGTGATACACAGCTTCTTGTGTAGGGAGCTGCTGACCTACCGAATGAAGGAGCTTTGGTTTACTTTTGCGAGGAGGCCACTCAGATTCTCACTGATAGAGTTCCACGCAATAACGGGACTTGAGTGCAAAACTAGTATCTCAATGAAGGAGTTTGATGACTACAAAGATGATGGTGGTTTCTGGAGCAAAGTGCTGAAGAAAAAAGAGGGAATTAGTATGTTGAAGTTGTGGAAGCAGCACAAGGATTCTGTGAAGAAGTGGCGTAATGCAGATCGCATTAGGCTGGTGTATTTATGCATCATTGTTTATGTGGTTTGTGCGAGAGGTGAGAAGGCAAATATCCCTCTGAAATACATCAAAGTGGTCATGGATCTCGAGAAGCTTCGTAGGTATCCTTGGGGAGTTGCTGCATTTGATCTTCTCTGTGAATCAGTAGCCAAGACGCGTGATAAACTGAAGACGAAGACCTCAAATTATGTGTTAGATGGCTTCTCCTACGCCTTGCAGATTTGGGCAATGGAAGCAGTGCCAAAGATTGGAAAGCTTTGTGGAAAAAAACTTGACAAAAGTTTTCGTGATGGTCCTAGATGCATTAACTGGATGGGAGCTGCAAAAGTCTCATACGACGAGATCATTCAGTTGGAGAATATCTTTACAGCAAAGGTTAGTATTTAATATCTTTACAAATTGAATTCATAGGTTTTAAAATAGTTATAAGTATCTAACTTTGTCAACCTTTCTTTTGTAGGATGTCGTTTATCCATACATCTCTTGGGGAGGGGATTATGTTGTGGTTGAACACGCTGAATTTGTAAGAGCAGATGAGGTAGAGGATGATAGAATCACTGATCTGAAGCGGATGATAATGGATAACCACGACTTCAGTGGTCATATTTGGGAGTTCGAAGAAGACACAGTAGAGCTTTCTTTAGAGCTAGATGACAAAGAAGGAGAGGATGATGAAGTTACTCAGTCTGAAAAAGGAACAGAGAATGCTGAAGAAGCTGAGACTGATGAGGACTTTCAAACTCCAAAACAGTCAAGAGACAGTGACTCTTCGGCTAGGAAAGGGAAGAAGAGGCTCCCGGATCGTGGTATGGAAAAAAGGAAGCATAAGGTACTCTCTGCTAGACCACAGCAAGCGCCCCTTGGTGAAGATATGAAGAGTTGGATGGCACAGTTATTTCAGCAAAATATTGAAGCAATGGAAGATAGGCTTCAGAAACAGATGGCTGAGAGATTTGAGAAGATGCAGTCTGAGCTGAAAGGGTCACTTAAGGTTGGAGGAGGTCAACTTGATCATGGAGTGGCATCCCCGAGGAAGTCATCCCCAAGCAAGCCATCGGCAAGCAAGGCGACCACAAGCATGCCATCACCTAGCAAGCCAACTCTGAGGAGATCCGAGCGCGTGGTAAAGAAACACTAGTCTTACCACTCTAAAATGTTTATTTTGCTTGTTTAATGTATGATTTTCCAACTTCGTTTGTGCTAGTGTCAATTATGTATTGTCATGAACAATCTAGTGTTTGATATTGTCTTCTTTTGAGTTTCTTTGTGAGTGTGCTTTGTTTGTAAGTTTGTGAACTTATAAAATATCTAATATATGCTTTTGTGTTTATGGTTGTGAACATATAACTTATTTAAATGATCATTTTGTATTTTGAATGACCAGGATGGCAGTTTCAGTGAGGGAGTAGATATGGACTTCGATGTAGAGATAGGTACCCAAGGCGTAGAAGGGCTTTCTCAGGCATCATTTGTGCCCGGATTTGATCCATCGCAGACCAATAGGGAAGACGGGACACGTGACTTTTGGACTCCATTGACTTCACTTCGACCTCCAGTAACTGTGGCAAAGGAAGGTAGTTCAGCTCCACCGCCTAGAAGGTGGGAGAAGTGGTACAAAGGAGGAGTTAAAACACTCCAGCTCAGTGATTCACCACTTCCTGAAGATGCTTCTCCGGAGTTCCCGTTGTATTATGTTGCAGAAGACACATGGACCAGATTCAGTGAATGGTCAATGAGTCCAAAAACTTTACAGATTGGTCCTACAGCCTTCAACATGACCATAGCTACACGGATTATTGCAGCTGGAAAATGGCTTGGAAATGAGGTATTAATTGTTGTTTTGTTGAGTGGTGTTATAGGATTTTGAAGATGTATTTGATTGATGTTCTTGTGTTGGTTTCAGGAAATGGATGCGTTTATGTATATGTGGCGAGAGAAGACATCTCTGCAGCGTTGGAACGTAGACCGCATTGCATTCATGACAGCTACGTTCTGCCTGCAAATCGACACAGCATATCGCAAGTTTACTCGTAACAAAAAGAAGTATCAGTTGCCCGAGTTTCTTCTTGCTTACGGTAGAGGAGAGCTTCCATCTTATGGGCGGACTAACAAAACTTGGGGTGTCGATGTTGATAAACTGTACTTCCCATTGTTTGTGAATGGTAAACACTTCATCCTCGTCATGTATTTATTTCTGCCTCTCATTTTTAACAACTTTATCAATGTCTTGTGTAGGTAACCATTGGATTGCAGTGTGCGTGAACATCATTGAGAAAAGAGTGGATGTTTATGATTGTTTTCAAGGGAAGAATAGGCAACACGTTGAGAGGTTTTCTGTGATGATTCCACGTATAGTGAAAGGTGTTGCTCCTCCTGAAGAGAAGAAGCACCTTCTGCTGGAAAAATACACCATCCACGACATTCCTTTGAAGTCTAGGTTGAACAAGTCTTGTGCGGATTGTGGGGCGTATGCACTCAAACACTTGGAATGCCTGTTGCTTGGTCTAGATCTCGGTTTGGTTGACGATGAAATCATCATGGGTTGTCGACAGAAGATTGCTGTGGATATATGGGAGGCTACTCAAGATCCCATTTTAATTCAGCTTATGCTGCAGCATGTGCCTTCAGAATTTGAGACTTCTGAAGTCTATGACATTGAAGACGATTGATTATGAGTATGCTCCTATGTGTTTGGTTTGCTAGGATTTTTGTATTTTTAGAACAAGTGTTGTTTGGTTTTCTAGGATAATCTCAAGGTTCGTTTGGTTTGAGACTTTGGATGATTTATGTAACCAATGTTCTTTGGTTATCTAGGAATTGAAAGTTATTTTGAACATTTTTTGAACCTAAGTAACTCTAATCTAACCCTATTTAAACCCTAAACCCTAAGGAAACCCCAAACCTACTATAAGTAAATTTACGTATGTTTGGGGTTTAATTACTCTAATCTAACCCTATTTAAACCCTAGACCCTAAGGAAACCCCAAACCTACTCTAAGTATGTTTATGTATGTTTGGGGTTTAATTACTCTAATTTAACCATATTTAAACCCTAAACCCTAAGGAAACCCCAAACCTACTCTAAGTATGTTTATGTATGTTTGGGGTTTAATTACTCTAATTTAACCATATTTAAACCCTAAACCCTAAGGAAACCCCAAAAATACATAAAGGACCCTACTATATACTATACCATTTTGAAAGTATTTTGTAAACTATACAGATTTATGCTAGTCTTCTATGTATTCACTCTAATACATAGGATTTCCCTTCAAAATGCTCAACTTTAGTAGTATAACGAAGTTATTCAAGTCTAATTAAATCGTTGATCTGCCTTAGGTAGAATACGTGTTCTAACTTTACGAAAATGACGTCGTATTGTTATTTTTTTTTTACCTAATCCCATCTTCTTCCTCATTCTTTCACGACAAGAGAGATCATACGGCGAAGAGTTGGAGATCGACACAGTCATGTCTTCGTGTTTATCGTCGTCCAACTCAAGAGATCGAATCACCAAACAACGTGGAATCCCAACAAAATGTAATTGCGGTGAGCAAGTGGATCTCTTGACATCGAAAACTCTCAAAAATCCTGGGAGATTATTTCATCGTTGTCCGTTGGGATCCGACGAGGTAACCTTGTATAATCAGTTTTCAATTACAGAATGTTTTCTAACAGCTTGTTCGATGTGATACATGAAGGACAAAACACACTTGTTCAAATGGACTGATAAGTCGGTTGTTGAAGAAATTGAAGATTTCCAGGATGTTTTGACGTTCTGCTCGCTGACAATTCCCTGTTTCAGAGTTCACTTACAACTTGTGAATCATTGCTGAAACGCCATGTGAGTAAAATTGAAGAGCTTGAAGATGCAATTGCAAATCGTCAAGAGAAGAACATGGACTGCATTAGGCAATTTCCGTCATAAAATCTATGTTTTTGTGCTCTTTGGTGATGGTTTTTATGTACCTCATCTATGCATGATGGTTCTCATGAACCTTTTCGATCTTTTGTTGCTTTGTTATTCAAATAAGACCATGTTTAAGCATTCAAATAAGACTTTGTTTCAGTCAGAAAAGTGTTGCAAAGATCATATTGTCAAATACCAATGTCGAAAAACCAAATAACAAAGAACCAAATTCAAGTCTGAGCAAAAAAACAGAGAACAAAAAACGCAAAAGTGCAAACTAAATAGGTAAATCACATGTTCCTCTCTTATGTCCTTCGAGACCACACCGACTACACTTGTGCATTTTGTTCTTTTGCTGTGAAGCTTTAATCTTGTCTTCTGCTGATTCATACCGTCTCTTAACTGGCCTACCACCACCCTTTCTTGAATCTGGTGGTAAAACATTGACAAGTCTCACCTCATCTGGGACATTCCATTCAGACTCTGGAATGGAAATTGGATTAATGGATTCCGCATAGGCAGCTCTCCATGTTGCAGTGGTGTAAAGAGGATCAGTAAAGCTGTGTACTTCCAGCCCTATCTCCAAAAAATAAAAACCGAGTCATGTTTACAATCTGCGAAAAACCGAAACAAATATAGGTCTCAAAAGAATGTGTTTATACCTCGTGAATATATAGCAGGAATGGCATGTCTACAAGGAATTTTTCCTATATCATACTTCCCACATGTGCATGTTCTATTCTCCAAATCAACATAACAATCATATTGGTCTCCTTTAACAAGTGATCTGAAATCGTCAACCTTTTCAACACTAAATCCTCTTGCCTTCACAATCCTCCTATCAATCTTCTTCTCAACCTTTTCGGTTAAGGGGTCAAGATGTTTGCAGCTAAACATTCGACGCTCATAGAACCATCGGGTCAGCAACTCTCTTATGCTGTCTAGCAACGGAATAACAGGAAATTCTCTAGGTGTTCTCAGCACTGAATTTATTGACTCAGCAGCGTTAGTGGTTCTAATGTCGTATCTCTCACCAGGGAAGACAGAACGAGCCCATTTCCTCACATCAGCCTCCTGTAGATATCTTCCGAGTGCAGGACTAATACCAAAAAGTTCAGTGAAGCGTTCTTGAAATTCACAGAACCTATNTAGGTGTTCTCAGCACTGAATTTATTGACTCAGCAGCGTTAGTGGTTCTAATGTCGTATCTCTCACCAGGGAAGACAGAACGAGCCCATTTCCTCACATCAGCCTCCTGTAGATATCTTCCGAGTGCAGGACTAATACCAAAAAGTTCAGTGAAGCGTTCTTGAAATTCACAGAACCTATATGCTCGTGAAGCCTGCTCCACCAATCCAGTCAAACCCCTTGCCTTGAAATAAGTAACCACATTGGTCAACAAGTGGTGGATACAAATTCCATGTGTTGATTGAGGGTAGACGGTCGCAATGCCTTTAGCAATTGACGGGTTTCTGTCTGACACAAAAGCTAAGTCTTTACTATCAGCGATAACAACATTCAGCTGTCTAAAGAACCACTCCAGTGAATCGTCGTTCTCAGAATCAACAACTCCAAATGCAACCGGATACAAATTAGAGTTACCATCTACAGCTGTAGCAACTAGTAGAACTCCTTTGTATTTATTTTTCAGAAAAGTTCCATCAACAACAATCACCCTCCGCATTGTTCTGTGGTATCCTCTAACTGATTGCCCAAACGACAAAAAAAGATACAAGAATCTGCCATCCTCTTTTGTTTGATAGCCAGTGTGCGTTCTAGGATTTGCTTCTTTCATTATATGCAAATATTTTGGTATTTTAGCATAACTTTCATCTGGTATACCTCTAGCAGCAGCAATGGCATACTCACGAGCTTCCCAAGCGTGCCAATAACTAATCTCGCAGCTATACTCCATTCTCATAAACTGGATAATCTCATTTGCTCTTGGGCCATCATTGGCATCATCAAAACGATGTTGTATCAGAGTGCCAATCGTTCTTGCTGAAGCTTTTCTTCCAAAATTGCTCTTCTTTGAAGGAGCACATGAATGATTTGTCACACACTTATTGATCATGAAATATGTAGACCCATCCAGACATTCTGCACGCACAGTCCACTTGCACTGCTTATCCTTACATCGTATATACCACCATTTCGTGGTGGATTTGACAACAATGTAATTAAAGTGTTTCTGCATAGCCCATATTTCCATCGTTGCCTTTAGAACAGCTTTGTTTCTAAAAATCTGATCCTTCTTCACGTAATCTGATCTTCAAATTCGGCCAGCCTTTTCACTATGTCCATTGTTTTCTGAACCATTCTCCTCGGCATGATCCTTACTTTTCTTAGAAGCCTTCTTCGATGGTTTGACAAATTCAGTTCGATTTCTTTCATGAACTTTGTCATCCTCAACATTACTTGCATCAGAAGGCTCTTTATTCAAATCGATATTGACTCGTTCCTTAACACCAACAGAGAACGTGACACACAAGGTGGTAGAGGCACCCTTCTTCACATAGCACACAAAATTAGACACTTGTCGATCATTGGTGATAATAATGGGAGGATTTCCTCTCTGGTTGACCATCTCATAACTAAACTCGACAGTAACAACATTAGGGTCCACCCCAAAATCGTCACAGACCATGATCTTGAGCTGTTCAAACAGTGTACTTGTTTCTAATGTTACCATTCGACCACCCCTTCCTTTCTCTACTGCGAAACTCCACTGGTCACTCCAACTAGACGTCCATGAACCGGATTTAACATAGATTAGAACCATGTTCTTCTGAAAGAGAGAATAGATTTCTTGTTGATGAAGAAAAGATTGGAACCGAGAATGGTGAAAGAAGGATCGTGGGAGGAGGAGAAGAACGTGGGAGAAGATACTTGTGAGATATTGTGAGAGATTTAGGGAATATTTACACAAAGATTTAGCATAGATTTAGGTAACAAAATAACCGAAAATGGAAACTTCCTTGTATTTCTCGTGACCAGGCTATGATATGGGTCATACACTGGGCAGAATAATGTGGTGTGGGTGGGAAGTACATCCTTCTTTATTCGTAACATAAGCTAAAAGGTAGAACACGTTATGACACACAAATATTTAAAGGTATATCGTAGAGTGGTGAGTATAAATTGAAATCAAACTCGAGGTATTTTAATGACATCTAGCTAGACTATAGCCAAATGTATTATAACTTGGTCAGAATTTAGAAGGAAGTTTTGTTTGCGTTATATGCCTTGGCTAGTTCTACGTGTAATACTTTGAATCCAAACTATAGACACAGTAGATGGCCAGAATATGTATTTTGTTCGTAGCTAGAACATAAATTAAAACATATTTTCAAATTTTTTTTAAAAATAATTTAAACATATAAATACTTATCCTTGTGTTTACTATAGTTTGGATATTTTTCTATATTTTAAAAAGTTTGTTTACTATTTTTTTGACTATACAAGGGCAAAACTTGTCCAAAACATAACAAAGTATGAAAAGTCCTAGAATGACAAATAAAAGTTCAAAGTGTCCCATTTTTCCAATTCTCCCAAACTTTAATTTCATAATGGGTATTTAAGACAAGTATCAGTCTTTTGTGTGTAGGTAAATATTGTTGAAAGCGTGCATCTTTGAGATGAAAGTTAAACTTTTTCTTTCCGCTTTTCAGTTACTACCTTTTAGGATCTTTTAACAGCTCGATTATCCTCATGAAGATAGAGAGAAGAGTTGGCCACTCAACCTTGGCCTACTTTTTT